TCTCTCTCTCTCTCTCTCTCTCTCTCTCTCTCTCTCTCTCTCTCTCTCTCTCTCTCTCTCTCTCTCTCTCTCTCTCTCTCTCTCGCACGCGCGCGTGCGTGCGTTCACTCATTCGCAGTGCGTGTGCAGCACTTCTCCAAGTGAACACGGGGAACGCTTGACGCGCACTGCACGACTGTGTCGCGTGCGAACGCTGCCCCCGCTATATATCGCCCCGCAGGCTCCCCCTGCGCGAATGCGTCAATCTCGTTCAGGGGCGTTCAGTGAACATGCGTTCATAGCGTTCAAAAACTGAACGCGGAACGCGGGTTCAATGAACGCGCGGTAACATAGTCCCCTGCCATGACCATGTACCACATCACATTTGACACCTACTAAGGAAGGTACTGCCCAACGGTGAAGTACATCAGCAGATGTTATAATCATACGTAAATTAGTTTTGGCTGGTACAACCACTCTATTATCTACTTCTAATAAACGTTAACGACCCTATTCTAGATCATCCTCCGGAATCATATAACTATCAAAAATAAGTGATTGTTCGTCAAAAGTATTATAATCTAAATACTCTTTTTTGCTTTCTTTTTTAGTGGGAACAATGCTCCAATCGATTCGTAGGAACAGCACGTGCTGGGAACCGGCCCCAGGGTCCCTTATGAAAATGCATAGAAAATTGGGACCATGAAGATTTTTTCTGGGGGGAGATAGTGGAAAGCGAGTCGAGCGTCCCTTACGAGGCGCAAACTTTAAACCACCAGTACTTCCTACAGTCGTGCCCGTTAACGCGCCACGACTTTCGGAAACATACGGGCCACTTTAGGAGCGCCCAAATTCATCTGACTGGAAACGTTTCTACTCTTTTTTTTCCCGCGGCTGATAGCTGGGCCAAGTACTGGTGGTTTAAGCATATCCCTTCCTACTAACCCCAAGTCCAGGGTTCTGAGGCTGGTAAGGGCGCTGGGGGGCACCAGCGGACCCCTACGTCTCATTGCCTGCCTGTGCCTACCATACTACTGTCTTGACCCAAAAAAAAAGTACGTTCGTTCTATTAAACTTACCTTGAAACTTTGAAATCGCTGATTTTTTCCAAGTAGAACGTACGGTCGAATACAACATACATACGTTGTACTCAAATTTTTGCTAATTTCAGTTTCGTAAAAGAATCAGAAATTTCCGAAAAAAAACAGAAGGTTGTACGACATTGCAATACAAACAACTTTTGCCTGAGGGTCATGTCGAAATTCACAATCGAATTCAAAAAACCAAGAATAAAAATATATTTTGAGGGAATTTTGGAGTGTTTTCTGATTTCTTAAGAATTTCAATTTATACCACCAGTACCTTTCCCAGCTATCAAGTCCCAACCTCCGGCTACCGGTATGCCAAGCCTTGCCGATCCTCGAGCTACCAAAGGCTACCGGTAGCAGGAAAATTGTCGTTTCTATTAAAAAAAATGAATAAATAATAATAAATAAAAATTACGAACAAGATTCTTAAGAAACAAAAAGAAAAAGAGAAAAGGAACACAATGAAATGAAATGCCAGAGATTAATCCGCTTGGGGAAAAAAAAAGAAAAAAAGAAAGTGTAGAGGGGGGGGGAAGGGAGAGAGAGAGAGAGAGAGAGAGAGAGAGAGAGAAAGAGAGAGAGAGAGAGAGAAAGAGAAAGAGAGAGAGAGAGAGAGAGAGAGAGAGAGAGAGCAAATCCTGGCGCGTTCGCTATGCCGCCACTCTCGCTCTCTCTGCGGCCACACTGTTAGAATCTGCAAAATGAGAATGAATCTTCCCGTGCTGTTGGGAAGATTCCTTCTCATTTGCAAATTCGAATGTCTCTCTCTCTCTCTCTCTCTCTCTCTCTCTCTCTCTCTCTCTCTCTCTCTCTCTCTCTTGCGAGTGCTCGCGCGCCATTTTCGCCTTCTACTTGTACGTCGTTCCCCCGCTCAGTTCCCGCCTGTGTAGCACGGCGAACATGTTCACCACCCTTCTAGTTCGCGCGAACGGGTCGATAACACGTTCGTGAGAACGTGTTTTCAAGGCCGGCGAACAGGGTTCGCCTGGGCCAGTACCGGTCGCCGGCGGGGCTTTGGAGGGACCTTGGGGAGCCGGTGGTGGTGTTTGGGGTGGGGGCGGGCGGGAATCTGGTCCACTTTGAGAGGGGGGGGGGGGAAGGGTCAGTTTCAAATTCGAAAATATTCACTCCTGCCCGCGTATGACCCCGTGCTCCGGCTACTGCCATGTTCGGCGCCCATATCTGTCAGGTAAGACTCCTCCTCGTCCTCCTCGTCCTCATCCTCGCCCTCCTCCATCTCCTCCATCTCCTCTTCCTCCTCAAGTTTCGGTAGTCGCCGCGTGGATGTCATGTCATAAGCGGCCTTTTTTTATTTTTAATCTTCTTCTTCTTCTTCTTCTTCTTCTTCTTCTTCTTCTTCTTCTTCTTCTTCTTCTTCTTTTTCTTCTTCTTCGTCGTCTTCTTCTCTCTCCTCCTCCGCCATCTCCTCCTCCTTTTGTCGTCTCCCCCTTCTCCCCCTCCTCCCCCTCCTCCCCCTCCTCCATCTCGTCCTTCTCCCCAAGTTCTGTCTTGTCGCGTGGGTGTCACGTCAGCACGCGCGACATTTATTTTCGCGCATTTTTTAAAATCGTATTCTTCTTCCTCTCCGGATCTTCTTCTTCTTCTTCCTCTTCTTCTTCT